CACCACAGGTCAGGCAGGCAACCTGATGTGACTATTGTAAAAAGCAAGAAAACATTTCCCATAGTGGCACTGGGCTTCTCTCCCTAAAGTAATTTCCTAGAGAGAGTCAAGCACTCTTGCTAATCCACGATGTTTCGGTTGCCTAGTTTGTTTTCATTTCTGCCCCCCATAGGTAGGAGAGGGAGAGAATACAAGAATACAAATAATAAACTTGAGGGTCTGATAAATACTCTCTGGGAACCTTTGCACAGAAACCTCAGAGACAGCTTGGGACCTGCCCTGGATGGCGCTGAGCTGCTTTCCCAAATACCCAGGGCTCTCAGATCCTGCCCTGGGAGCCCTTGGCAGCCTGCCGTTTGCTCCCAAAGCAACGAGGTTCTTATACACACCGTCTCACTTTGTTTCGTCCTCCCCCTTCCCAGCCTTCTACTGAGGGGTGACAGCGGCAGGGAACAACCCTCAGGGAGGGGGACTCTGAAGGAAACGATGCAGTTTGACATATTTATTTGCAAGCTCAGCTCAGCAGCAGCGCAGCGACAGCCTGGCGCGTGTGCAGGCTGCTGCCGGCGAGCGCCGCCGGCTGCGCTTGTTGGAGGGCAAGTGCTGATGAAGCTGTTGGGCTCCCGGAGCTATGAGACCTGCTCTTGTGAGCAAGACGGATTTAAATTTTTGCAGGTGTGCTGAGAATAGCCCAAAGCACCTCGTCTTGGTTGCTGGCCAGAGGAATTCACGGCTATTATATTTGGGAGCCAGGCAATGATTACAAATCAATGACTGCACTCCTGGAGTGATTCATCGTTAACCTGGGAGTTTAGCTCTTTCCCTAGCTCTCTCCATCACCAGCTCCAGTTCTTTTAGCATCTCGAGTGTCTTATTCATTTTAAACCATCAGATAGCCGTGGATGTAGCTGAAGAGGAGTGGAAGGACAGATGCACAGAGGCATGGTTGGGCAGCTAAGGGGAGGAAGGGTTTCTGAAGGGGGATGGGGCACCCTGAGGGTAAGTGGAGCTTGGCTGTAGCCTGGGGAGCAACGCTGCCAACATCACCCAGAGCAGACCGGCATCCTCTCTGCTGGAGGGCTCCCACTGACCTCCTTGCTCGGCTGGTAAATGTCCCATATTTTTGCCTGGCTGGGCGCAAAGCGGGGGGGGGGGGGGGGGGGAAGAAAAAAAAAAACCTCACCAACCTGTGTCCAGCCAGACCAAAGCAGAGGCTATTTAGCAGGCCAGTGGGGAGGTTTTAATCATCCCAAACATCTTGGGCCAGTCTATTCTTAATAATAATTTATAGCACTTAGCACTTTTATATGTTCTAAGCATTTCACAGGCATTAACTGGGGGCTGGGAGGCTGGGACTGCTTCAGAGAAGGAACTGGCACTGCGGCCTTGCCCAGACCTAGCAGAGAGGTAGGGGTTCAAGGAGCAGGTTTTTCATGGCCTGTCCCTCATTCACTGCTGTGCCTGCCCACCTATGTTGGTTTTCCAGCCCCTTGTCCCACCTCACAGTTTTCCTCTCAAAACTGGAGTATGTCTCTTATGCAGACTTGCTTTAAAACTGCAGCTATCTAGCCGCTGGCCCGGAGAGGGCAGCTATTTCACCAGCAGATACAGTAAATAATCACTGCTGTCAAGCAGAGCAGCTAGGAAGGGAATTGGTCCCATTTCACAAATGAGGTGGCTGGCACAGAAAGGATAGGTAACTGGTGGAGCTGGGAACACATTTTCCAGCTCCAACCCTCTCTTCCTGGCCTTATGGTGATATTTCCAGAGCACAGCTTATATGTCAGCACATTCAGAGAGGCTAGGAAGCTAAAAGACAGGCACTCCAACCCTCTGTGCTATCAGAAACACTCCTTGGTTTGGATTTGGCTTACGCAAAATGGATTGCCCACACAGGAAGCACAGCCGGGTCTGCACCACCCTTAGGTCTAACCTCTGCTGGATTTGTCATCACTGTAGATTTTGCTATCATCTACATGCTCTGCAAGGGTTTAAATCTGGGGCTGGGATCTGCAGTTGCACACAGCAAGCTGATCCTCCACACAGAGGCTGCAGCAGGAAGATGGACTTTACAGGACACTGTAAAGCACTGTGTGAGATGCCAAGCTGAAAGATGAAGTGAAAAATGCACATCTGCAAGCCCAATGCTGCTGCTGCTGCTGCCTCTGAGGTCCTTCCCCATTCCTGCACCCCACTGCTGGCCTCTGTGTCCATGCTCCCCTTCCCGCCGCTGCTGCTGCAAGAGACTGAACGGTGGGAGCAGACACCCAGCTGGGGCAGCAGGAGGGAGAGGTGGGGAAACATGCTGGAAGAGATGGTAGCCATCACCTCCAAGAAGCTCAAAAGGTTTGAAAAAAAAAAAAAAAAAAAAACAAAACAACAACAAACTGGTTTGCAGATGGAACTGAAACCGAACCAAGGGGAATTCACTGAGAGCACTAAGTGGTGGCCGCCAGTTATTTAAAGTGTCGCATGCATCTGATGTGCAGCTGGGCATAAAGAAAGGGTGTGCCTGCAGTTTGCACAGACGTACCCATGACAGTTTTAAAACAGGGCTTCCGAACACTGCTAGGTACAGCTGCAGCAGCTGAGAGGTCAGCACAGGCTAGAAACCACCCAAGAAACCAGGGAATAGCTGGGGAATTTGATGAAGGAGTAGGGCACGACTGATGCCCCTATCAGCCCTAGCTAAACAGTAAGCAGGACTGGGGCCAGAGGGTTTAAGATTATTTCAGAAGCCAGTCAAGACTGGACAAGAACTGGAAATGCAGTCTTGTGGACAGACACACAGAGTTATTACACAACCTCCAGACAGGCTACCCACTTCTCAGCGAGAATTCAAACTAGCTGAGAGATGTATCGGCATAGAAATGACCCCTATAACATTCCTTGTTGGTCCTTTATACAGGGCAAGTCTTCCTATATCATGCCTTTGTTCCCAGGGAAGTCTGAAACCAGAGCTGTGAATGCCCACAGGCACTAGAGGAACCCAGATCCTTCCACAAGTGGGGCTCCTGGCTGGTGCAACCATCCCCTGGCTTGGCCTGCCCTGTTCTCCCTCCTTCCACCCTCCATGTCCAGACGGATCCTGCCTAAAAGCAGCTATGGTCTTATTTCGCCAGTGCTGGCCCCCCCATAATTTTTGTTTTCAGAGCACGGACCACATTTTAAAAGAGAGCAAAGCATCTCAAACACCTTATTTCCTAGTACGACCCTTGCAACACCTGTACAGCACTCTCCTGGCAATGGTTCCAATTGCTTACGTAGAAAAGTCTCATTAAAGAAGTGTTTTAGCACTGGACTTTGGTTTTATTTTTCAAACTTGATTTGACAGGATGAACCAGTGTTACAAATCTCAGAGGCCCTCTGTCAGGCATTTCCAAGACCCCTGCATGTCTCTGAGCTGCTATTTGAGGTCCTTTGCACAGCATTTATGCCCTCTCAACGCTTCTCCCTGGGAACCTGTCTCTAGCACCCAATTGCTCACCCCAGAGACGGTTTTTCTAACTGCCTAGCCTGAATTTGGTTTTATGGTCCTAATGCCAGGCTTTACTACTCTGAGATAATTAGAGCAATTCCCTTCCTTTGCTTATATTGTTCCCTTGAAGGTATTTGTAGGCGGAACGCTTGTCCCTACTGAACCATCCCTTTTCTTCTCCACACGCTTCCCTCTGCGGTCCCTCCCCGCACCTCCCATCTTTGGGTTGCTTTCATCAACTAATAGTTGCTGCAGAGCATAGTTGGGGCATCTTTCTGCTCCTCCGATCTCCCTTTGGGAGCAGGATCATCTTGAGACTTAAGAAAACCCCCGTACTGCTGAGACGTGGACAAGGAGCCACAGCCACCCTCCAGACACGCTGCCCTGGCTGGGGCTTGGAGAGCATCGGGGAACCCTGGCTGATCCCTGCCTGGATGCTGGGACTGATCTTGGTGACAGCAAAGGTGACGGGACCGGGAGAGGAGGAGAAGCTGGAGGGTGTCCAGCTGGGATATTCAGGGGGGCCTGTCCACCCCGCTTTCAGTCTGTTGCAGTGGTACCAGCTAATGAAATTTAACATATTATTGATCAGATTCTAATTTCTCTGCCTCAAAAATGATCTTCGCGACTGCTGTGGGTTGTTTTCAATAGCTCTTGGCTTATAAGGTCTTTCTTTTTTTATTAAAAAATTAAAATAGTTAAAATTTTGATTAAATTAAACCAAATGGACTTTGTTCTCCACTGGAAGCTGTTTATATAACATCTGCTTTAAATAACTTTAAAACTCAGTCCATTCAACTGTGCAAAATAAAAAGGTGCGACTGCAATATTTGTTATGACTTAAAAAAAAAATTAAAAAATCAGACCTTACCCACCTCCACCTGATTTACCCCCCAGGCACAAGGTTAGCCCTGTGTGCCCAGCGCAGCCCTGGCGTGGCTGGTTGGATTGACAACTGCCTGGTTTGCACAGCTGGCAGAGAGCGGGCAAAACAATTTAAAACTACTGTTAAAAATTACTGTTTTCTCAGATAAAAAAAAACCCCAAAACATTAGTAAGTAGAGTTTGCAGTGCTGTGGGCATTAAATGCACAGATACTCTACATCAGATTAGATACTCATGTGTATTCCTGGAACAGCCCGAGTGCCGCTTGAGTTTCCCTATACTGGGAATGCGTGCCTAAGTATTTCTTCCAGGATATTTAAAAGTTGTGTGTGCGTATCAGGGTACGTGGGAGGGCTGCACAGACAAGCCCCGGATTGCCTCACTGGCAGTCAGTGACGGGTTAAAGAATCCACACCTCAGTTCTGTGTGGGAGCTGGAGGGGTTCCCGTAGGTGACCCCGCTGCTCTGGCCCCCCAATTCCCAGCCCAGCTTCCTTCAGGCGCCTGCCTGGGTGCCTGTGTCCCGCTTTCTCATAACCTCCCCTGCCTCCTCCTCCTCTTTATATATTCATGAAGCAGTAGGGACGGGGATAAATAAAAGCTGAGCAAGCTGTAACGGCAGCACAGGAAGAGGAACTGTGTGTGCTGGCGGGTGCCTCGCTCTGCACCGCCGGGACGGATCCTGCCTCTTTATCTTTGCTGGGACAGCGCCGGCTTGCAAGAGAGATAACTGGTCCCTGCTCTCTCGGGCTGCAGCTGGACGAGCTCTGGATGCAAGGAGGAGGAAAGTTCACAGTAAGTGAGTCAGTCTCACCAGGGATAAGATAGCACCTTATTTAGGATGTTTCTTTCTCTAAGTTCAGAGCCAGGCCTGGCGTGGGGCTGCCCCTACCCTGGCTCTGTTCCCAGCAGATTGCTCCCCCAGCACGCCTTTATCTCCTGGGGCCCACTGATGGGGCTGAGGGCATCCTGCTGGACCCACGGGTGGAAGAGAGGCTGGAAGCAGAAGACACATGCAAGCAGGGACTTGCTGTGTAATTCACAGGGGACCATTTCAAAATGTTGAGCTTTTCTCCAGCCTGCTTTGGTCTGGAGAGATTGGTGTGGAGGGTCACTAAAGCCTGGTGTTGAAGGATTATATTGCAGCTGTGCTTTTTTGGGAAGGGCAGAGTTCTCAGAGTTCACATGTGCTTGTCTCCTGTGATCTCTTACTACTCCCATGGTCTCCCTTCTGTCCTCTTTCTCCTGGGATTGCAAGGAAAAGACACACCTCTGTCACTGGAGAGTAAGGTGTGGGGTTTTCTGCCCATAAATTAACCCTGATAGCTGGAACATAACATAAGAGTGCAACAGGGTCTTCTCTTAACTGTAAGGAATCAGGATCTGATAAGTTCAAGCAAAAAAAAAAAAAAAACAAAACAAACCAAAAGCACCTCACGTGGTATGGCCCCCTGCTTCCCTCCCTGGGACGCTAGCAGCACCGTCGGCACCTTGTTACCAGCTCCCTTTATTCTGAGGGGCCTCCATCCCAGCTTGTGAGCCGGAATCCTGACCTCACCAGTCCCCTGTTCCAGGGTGAGACCTTTGCCATATCGCAGGTCTGCACAATGCGCTGCCGGCCTGATCCGAGGAGCGATATCTCCTCTCCACCCTGCCCACAGTCTTTCTAGGTGCAATCAGCATTGTGAGGAGTGTGCAAATGCATAGCCATAAACACAGGGGACATTGGTACCAGATGCTACCTCCAGTACTGAGCATCCACTTAACCCACTACTTATGCAGGATGGGCCAACAGTTTTAATACCCCAATGGGTCATTTCTTAGATATCACCTTCTGACCTGTTCTAATGCTCCAATCTTCTCCTCCTACCTAGGTACAGCTCTAAGATGAAGCCTCCATCTGGGCAAGGCATAAGGCTGGCATACCTTCTCCTGAATATGGCTTCCCTCTGCCTCCCCACCCCACTCTGGAAGGACCGGGACTCCCTAATGCAGGAGGAGAAAGCCTGTCAGACGGGTAGCAATTTGGTGCTGAGTAGACAGGAACAGCAGCTCAACACAAAGCTTGTAAACCTCAAGAAGGAGGAGGTTGCAGCAGCCATAGCTACAGGACAGTTTCCTCCAAGCATGCACTTCTTTCGGGCAAAAGGCCTCATTGATCAGAGCACAGTGTTCAGCATCTTAAAGCGCATGCCAAAAGGTAGGCTTGGCCTAAGGATTGCTTGTCTTACTCATCGTCCTCTCACCTTTTGCTTTCCATGGCAGATGTGGGACAAAGCGTGAGATGTGGCAGACGAGCTTATGAGAGCTGTAAATTGTTCTCACTGGGTTCCAGGAAGAGCCCTGCCTCTGAGCCTGGGGACAGGGAAGGGGGAGAGAGGAAAAGGGGGATGGATTGGGTGAATACACATTTCCAGCAATTGTAGCACTTGCTATAATTTACAATATGGATCTTTCAACCTTTCAAGTGTGGAGAAAGGACAAAGGAAACAAAGACAAGACGCCGCAGACATCCATACTTGCTCAGCATGTTCCAGCCAGGGCCTTTCCTTTTCCCACATACACATGCCACAGACATGCTACCAGCCTTGTCTTAGTCCTCATTTTTAGCCAAAAATGCTGTCTCTCCCAATAAGATTTTCTGCAGCTGGTTCTGTAGCAGACCTGGAAGTCTACTGGAAAGTCTGGGGGCACAAGAGGAGAGAAAGGTGCTACCTTCAGCGCTGCAACTTTCTTTACCCGTTGAATGCAAGTCAAAGCCTGTGTTGGTGTGACCTATAGAACACAATATAATAACTACTGTATTCTCTCACTTAGTCTTTCTTAGTCAGGTTTTGGTCTGTGCACTTATAGGAGACCTCTGCTTATACGGGCAGGCTTTTCTCCTCTTGTCTTTAGAGATGTCATTTCTCTCTGTTGTGCAGCAATCTATGTGCTAATGGGCTGCAACACACTATATCAAAAGGGTTTCTGTACTTTGCAGCACACACATAGTTTCAAATGTATTTGGATCATTTTGGGTTAGACAGCAGGATGAGATTGTCAGATGCCTTCACCACACCATCCTGTGCATCCTCCGACAAGCAGCTGGGACACAGCAGTGTCTGAAAGTTCAGTACTCTGGGTTGCTGTGGGAAGGGGGAGAGGATATTTTTAGCCAAGGTGAAATCCCAAACACCTAGGCTGGGTAGCAGGAAGCCTAATGTCTCCACATCCCTGAGCTGCTGACAGTTCAGCAGCGAGACAGGAGGCTGGGGTGATCACAGGAGGAAGGCCTTGACTCCTGGCTGACCAGTGTTTTCTGCATCTCTGGTTCAGTAAGGAAGTACCTGAATAAGGTGTCTCCTTTAACTAAAGATGGGAGACAGTTGCAGCAAACGTTGTCAATATTCCTGTGACTCCGAACAGTGGACCACCTGGAAGCGTGGGTGTCTTTTTAGATTCAAAATCCCGTGGCTTTGCCCACACGGCTGCCTGGAAACAGGTTGGTGACCTGCTTTGGAAAATTTGGGAGTCAGCTTCTCCACAGGAGTATTTTTCACTTGCAAGGCTGTGACACTGGCACATGGACAACAGTCATCTTCCTCACTTCCCAGCTTCTCCCTCCCAGCCTCTGGGGTGGGATGAGGATCCCAGACTTGCAGCATCCTAATCTGTTGCAATAAACGATTGGTATGTCAGAATTGTCATTAACCTTTTGTTGCTGAACAGTAAGGAATTTAAAAATACCCCACTCTTCATCTCCAATGGGGTATCTTTGATACCAAGGAGGAATCAAAACAAACAAAACTTTTAAATCCAGGAGATGTTAAAATGGGTCCTTGGAATCTTTGCAACCACTGTAAGCTTTTAGGGCCAAGATCACATCCTTGTAGCTGCTTGAATAGGACCTAGTCTTAGTGGCCTCGGTCTTGATCAGAGCCCCCTGGGAATTACTGTTGTTTCAAGCACTATTGTAATTTCTATTGCTGGTCACACAGAGAAGAGAGTGGCATTGCCAGTGAGAGGAAGGTCAGATCTAGACAGCTGTGGCATGCCTATTCTGTTGCACTAGCAAACAACCACGGTTGAGAGCAACAACCACAGTTGCTCAGCATTTTAACAGTCAGACCTTCTGTAATGAGAGATTATAGGCATTATAGTCTATATTAGATTAGTCCACTATAAATTATAGTCTTAAAGGTTGTCTAATGCCACATACATACAAGCCTTTTCTTCTTGCTACTCATGTTCTCCCTTTACCCCTAAGGGCATCAAAGCCATTTTAACTATGAGGTTTCCCCTAGACTAATAAAATACATATCTGTAAGATTTAAACTCTCACAGTTTCTTCCCTTTACAAAGGTGAAGTTTAGTTCAAGCACGAATAACGTAAAAAATCTCTGCAAAAGGAGAGACTTTAGCAAAACAAAAGGATGGGCTGAGGAAGGTGAACATGCAGAGATGCTTCCTATGCCAGGAGGACTGGCAGTTACCAACATGCTGCACAATAACAGAGTATCCCAGAGGCCCTCTGTGCTGGCCAGCAGCAGACGTACAACGTAAGTGAGCGTGCTTTTGATAAGGCATGGAAGTATGTGGTACTTATGCATCTGAGTACAATTCCCTGGTGTATCATGGTCTGGGATTTTGGTGTATGCCAGAGTTTCAAAGAGATGAAAGAAGAGACAGACTAGATTCAAAAACTGAGGCTGAGATTCAGACAGCTTTGACACAGAGGCTTGCTTCGGGTCTGCTAGCATACCTTGTAAACTGCTGCCTACTGTGCGAGTTCCTCTTTAAATCAGTAGGGCCTGAGCGAGCTCACAGCAAAGTCTGTCTGAAAGACCTTTAATAACTCGGAGCATTTTCCATCCCAGCGGAGAAGCAGAGCTCCCTATTGATTTCCCCCCTCCCTGCACTCCCAGGGAGCTGTCACGCTCTGCCTGCCCTGCGTTTGATGGGGGGGGGGGGGGGGGGCACATCCCCCAGCATGGGGGAGTCAGAGCAGCTGTACAGTCTATGCTGGGAGAGGTCACTCACAGCCATCTAGAAGCATTTCCAGGTGCCCCTGGATGGGCGAACTCAAACTATTATCACATATAAACCTCAGCTCCTTCTTCTCAGCTGCCGTGTCTCATTAGGATATACTTTTCTTCCCACCAGGTGCTATCTTACACTTGCACGACTACGCCATCCTGAGCGTGGACTGGCTGGTGTACAATGCCACCTACCTCCCCGACTGCTACATCTGTTTCACCCACACGGGCACCGTTCGGTTTCGCTTTTCCAAGCCTAACCCTCCTCACCCAGTGCCAGCCCAGTGCTCCCAGTGGGTTTTGCTGGAGACTTACCGGAAACAGCTGAGCAACGTGACTGAATTTGATAGCAGGTGAGTGAAGAGGGGTTTCAAGCCTGACGGTACTTCATGATAGCATTGTATAGCCAGCAGGATCATTCTGGGCCAACTTTTCCATTTGCTTGCTGCTCTGGAAGTGAGGAACTCCATTTAGGGGTGTATACACAGAATGAGCAAATAGCAATATAAGAGCTTGAAGGTTGAAGCATTAACTACACCAGAGTTAGAGACCATCAAAATTGAAGTTTTCCATGTACCCTCGCTCTGGTCCTTTGCACAGACATGCTGAAGATAGTAGTTTAAGTAGATTTATATCAGCTGCCCCCACCTCTCCTCAGCACCCAGGGTGGACGTACTCCCAACATGGGACAGGGCTGCAAGACCTTGCCTCATTCATTGAGGTACACAGGAACAGGACAAGGCAGTCAGGTAGCTGATAAACAGGGTCTCCCCAGCAGCAGAGAAATCGTTTGTAAATTCATTGTCTTGACTGAGAGCAAGAAGTTGGGCAAACTACTTATGTTACTGCACTAGCATAAACCCCCAAAACAACACAGAAGAAATCCCAACCTCCCCCTCCAAACACCAGCCTTGTTTCCTGAGGACTGTCTTTGAAATCCTGCTGCTACCCGCCACGCTAAAGCACGAGGCGCCCATTCCCAACATGACCCCCAGGCACTGTGACTTGCCCTCCTGCCCTCAGACAAAGGGTTAGGTCTCAGCCTGGGCACTGGCTGAGCCACGAACCCTCCACCCAGGCTCTCTTGCCTGGTAGCACTCTTTCCCCCTCCTGCTAACACAACTTCTCCCCTTACAGGCAAGGCTTCCTCTAACTGTCTGGGAGCTCTCACCTCAGATGGCTCCCCAAAGCATCGCTCTCTCACAGGAGCTCCCCTCCTCGCAGGCAGCTCCTACCTTAACTGCTGGCAGCCTTTTGTCAGAACCAGGTGTTAGCTGGCTGCTCAGCAGCCACTGGCCATTTAATCACTTACAGGTGGGTGGGAATAGCCCGGCTCCCCCTCCAACCGGCGGTGACAGGAAAGAGGGAGACCTATCTCCCTATCCATTGATCGCAGGACAAAGCCCTGCGGAAAAGGCCAGGAGGAAGCGTGTAGTTCTGCATGGTGAGTGGGGGGCTGGAGAGAGCACACTAAATAATGCATGAAGTCAGACACTGAGTGATGAGGACAAAGGAAAATATTGAGTAGCGATCCATTCAGAGGGCACCGCCATCCACGGAGCTACGGGGGCTGGGGTCCCACAGAAAAAAATAGCATGAGGTGTCATGTAATTAAAGACAGTATTGTGCTAACACATGAGAAGTCTGGATTAAGGTGATGTAGGTGACCTTAATTACAGCATTTCCTAAGTAAAACTTTATGGGTTTTACTGTAGTGATCTTCAGTGAGGGTGTGTTATATAGACACCTTTTAACTCTTAGGGAGCTGGTATCCCCTCCACATGGAAGCTGTCTGGGCTCTGTGCCCTACAGATCTGGGAAAGAGGTCAGGTTGGGAAACTGAGGAGCTGTCAGACCTTTGGCATGGTATTGCCTTCCCTCCCAACAACAGCAAGGGGCAGGGCAGAGGGAGCTGCTGACTCTCTGGGGCACCCACCACCCATCTCCTATGGAGGTCCAGAAGAGAAGGAGAAAGTAGTGCCAGACTCAGGGCTCTTGACCTTTTATATCCTGAGGCTCAACTGCCCTGACACATGACAGAAGAAATAAGATCCAGTGAGAAGTCACTTATTTATGTCTTCCAGAGAGAAAACTGGTTCCCCATTAGCTCCCTTCAATTTCTACTGGGAGTGATCAGGAGGGAAAGACCACAGCACCAGCTCTCTTCAACCTCACCAAGAGATCCATAAATAATGTACAAGAGATTGGATTTTGAAACAGCTTCACTTCCTTAAAGCCCAAGCAATTGCACTGGGTATTTCAGAATGGTCTCAGGAGCAGCCCTTCATTGTACTTGTTTTCAGTTGTATTTCCATAGCATGACATCCCTTTCTGGCTGAGACCATAGGCCACGGCATCCTATACACCTAGGAGGATGAAGCTGTGTATTACCTGGCTCCCTATGTTCCTGTTTGGGAACATGATTTATTTTCAGTCAGTGTTATCACATTCCTCTTCTTTTGTATTAGTTGTCTGACAACGTCTAGCAGCCACAACTCAGAGCAGGACTTCAGAGTGTCAGGCTCTGCACAGGGACACCAGACAGACTCTGATACCAAGGGTCTCCCCAAGGGCAGAGGGGAAACCGAGGCAGAGACCAATTAAGAGATTTTCCTCAGCAAATGCATGTCAGAGCCAAGTACAGACTTGGATCTCTCACATCCTGGGTGCTCAGACTTACTCATTTGAGTATGTTGTCCTTCATTTCTTGCCCTTCTGTGCTCATCACCACAAAATTGCAGAGGAGCCATGGAACATAATGTGCGAACACACGAACAACAGCCACATTGAGGCGCTTCCCCTCCTATTTTCATCTAATCCCTGGGTACTAGTATAGGGGTTAGGAATGTTTTTTGGCCGTCTGGAAATAGGTCTCTAGCCAGGAATAGGCCCCAATCTGTTCTGCTTCTCAGTTTCTGGAAACTCTCCCAGTCTCTTGAACATGTGCATCCCAGGCTACCTCTTTCCTGCACTCCTCTTTGCCCTTGAGCACTGACAAGCTGAGAGAAAGCAGATGTCAGAGGAAGGAACGGATGGATAGTTGGGTGGTTTCAAGGAAGTATCAAGGGAATATGGCAGCAGGGAAGGGCTCTCATGCAAGACAGGGTGGATCAGCAAACGTGAAGGGAACAATGAAAATGTTTCCAAGAGACTGCACCTCCTTCACCTTACAGCATTCCTGCCCAGGCAAGGGCGAGGGAGAGAGGTATCTGCACTACATTTTTGCTGTTTGCATTTTTAGGTACATATGCATACATACACGTGTGTGTGTGTGTGTTTTGGAAGGAAGTCTTTTTGTTTGTTTCCCTCAAAAGAAGGTTTAATCATTCCTCTTCAAAACACACACCTTATGGGCCAAGACCCCAGAGTATTCTGTTACTGGTAAGCTTCCAAAAGGATGCTATTGTGAGAGTCGGGAGACCACGGGCCAAGAGACAGAGAAAGGAAGGGAATTTTGCTTTGAAACTTAAAAGAAAACAAACCCCTCATTTATTTACTTCACAATCAATTATGATATAGGAGAATGTAATTTTTTTTCCTCAAGATGCAACATAATGGCCACCGTTTCCAAAGCAAGAGCATGCCCCTAGATATTTAGGGAAACAGTGTTGACATTCCAGATATTTGTAAAATGCCACAGCACACTCCCCCCCGCGAGCAGCCCGGGGATTAAGGCTGTGCCCGGCAGCGCAGCTCCGGCGGCCCAGAGGAGCTCTCTATCACCAGGATGAAGTCATCTGTGAGGGAGATGACACCATGGCCGAGGCTGCGGGGACAACTCCCCTGGGCACTAACAGCTGCCCGGAACGCCATCACCCTCCCCTCCGTGTCCTCCAACCGCCTTATCTCACAGGAAAATAGGGCAGTGTGTGCATTACAAGCGGGGAAAAAAAAAATAATAAAAATCCACGACAGAAACAAAGCACTCCACTCCCTTTACAAGTCTCCCCTTGGGGAGAAGAAGAGGGGACGAGAGAGAGAGAGAAAGCGAATGAACCACATGTGACAGATGTTAGTCACACTATTTAATGCACCACTGGAAGACATTCAGATACTACGGTGGGGAGAGGGGTATAATTACCCATCGAGAACAGAAAAAGAGTCAGGAAAAAGAATCCCTTTAAAAACAAGGCAACAAACCCGTTCACTTCTGCATTATATAGCACAATAAAGAAAAACAGGGATTTAAAAAAAAAAAAAAACAGGAAAAGAGAAAGCAAAACCACAGTTGAAAGGAAGCAATCCTTAGTTGGTCATTTTAGTTGTGCCCCTTTGGGCATATGCATTGCAATAGCATTGTTCAGTGCATATATGACATGACATGGAAGGCTATTTGTAGTCTGCACCTGATCACTGGCGAGGGCCCATTCCAGAAAAGAAGCAAAAAATGTATTTATGAAGCTTTGCTTCATCTGCATGAGCTACTGATGGCAAAAGCCCCTGAACCCTTAGGAGATGATCCAGTTATCAAGGATGGATCACTATTACGCAATAAATCTTCAACAGTTATAGGGATCAATAATCAGTCTCAAAGGAAAGGGGATTATAAAAAAACCACGATTTGATTTATGTGCTTTTAGGAGCAGGGCGGTGTGGGGATTTATTACTGTTTCTAGCCCAAGAGCACAGGCTAAGTAAACAACCACAAGTTTGTGCAGCTAGGTTTAAAGGCAGGGAGGGGAGCGCTGTGCGTGCCCGTTGCTGGAGGAGCCGAGTTCTCACAGGACAAGGGGAGAAAGTGGTGGGAGCCCAACTAACCGCCCGTCCTTATCTGAAATGAAGCCACGCGGGGTGGCGAGAATGGGCTTGCACAGCCTTTTGATCCACGGGGAGGTTTTTCCCTCAGTGCTTGCAAGGCTGGTGGGAACAGCCCCGCTCGGCTCTCGGCTTCAGGCAGGTGCTCTCCGCCGGCGTGCGGGGCTGGCACGGAGCTGCCCTTTGGCCAGGAGGGGAGTGGAAAAGTCTCTTTTCCCCAGCTCTTCCCACACAAAACCTCCTCTCCCCTCCCCGCCAAGCTGCAGCACACCCTTTCTGCCGGCGGCTGGCCTCCACCGCAGCTCCGGCAGCTGGATCACCGCCTTCAAGGTGCCCCTGGCTCCTGCATTCCTGGTTTCTAAGGTGATGCTGCGATGTCTCCCACTGCTGCGTGCTCCCCACTGCCCGCCCCAAATGCTGCCTGCCCCTGCCGCGGTCCAGCTCGGTCCCCTTTGGTTGCATGGATTGCTGAAGGGTAGCTGGGGTTGCCCAGTGTCCCGTGATAATGGCCCCAAAGCCCCTATTGTAATGCACGGGAGGGCAGAGCCAAAGTTGCTGTGGAAACCTTAACTCTGAATTTTCTTGACTGTTGAGCATTTAAAATCTCATCCTTAATGTGGTACGAGCATCTCTTTATGTACAGTTTTGTTTCTAAAATTGTTCCCAGCAAAGAAATTAACAGAGTTAAGAAAAAATGAAACTGCAGCTGCTGGAAGAGGGTCCTTAGAGAGTGAAACAGCAGGCAAACACTGGGGGAACAGGCTTTGTTTTATTGGCAGATTGGAGGGACTCAAAAGGGATGTTCCTGTCCGGGATGTCTTCGTTTATCAGTCTGGACCAGATCACATTTTACATCTGTAGGAGAGAGGTTTTTAATTCCATCCACAGAAGCCTCCTGGAAGAAAATAAGAGCACAAATCAAACCCACACCTCCAATATAACTGAGCAGAGCACTGCAAGAGGATGGGTGCCAAGACATCAAACACGGAAACAGTAGCTGTTATCGAGGGGAAACAATATATATTTGGATGAAAGATGAAGGATGGTTGGAGGTATTTCTATTTGAGCCTGCTTAGCCCCTGACACTAGATAAGCATCAGGCCTGGCCAGACTGGTAAGCCTACCCGCCTGCAAGCAGCCAGCTCTGTAGCTTGCTGCCATGGCTTCAGTTTTTCCACCCAGGAATTAAGTTAATCACCTCTGTATTGCCATTTAGTCTTTGCCCACTGGCCTCAGAAATTTATTACAAACTCTTATTCAGGTGGGCACCAGCAGCAGGAGGAGAGCTGCTGCTGCAGGCAAGGCTTCGGGTGGGATAAAGGCTATCAGCTGGCCAGAGGACAGCCTTGCAGCACAGACGTTCACCCTGTCCTAAATACAATCTGTCACCCACAACTAGATAATCTTGCAATTACTGGCTCCCTTAAACTCTGCTTGATAAAACTATCTGCCGCCTCTCTGGATTTCTGAAAGAGGCTTATGTACCAGCTGAGTCTATGGAAGAAATAAACACATTTCCGTCCCGCTAAGGAAAAGCCAAGACCTGCGATTCTTATCAGTAGTTTCCCAGCAGATAAATCTGAAGAAGTTATCAGTAAGGCAGACAGGATATCAGGTTTGTTCCACGGGGGCGGAAAAAGGATTTCTGATTCACAATAATTTTCCACCTGCTTATATTAGACTACATATTTTGACAATACAAAGGTACCAGCACAAGTTACAGGCTTAGTAAGCAGGTGGATGGTGGCCCAGTACATGGCATCCACTGGAGACTCAGTCTGCCTTTAGGTGGTGAACACAGGGCCAGTTGTCATAACTTTTTACATGCATTGAAGATGTTTGGGAGAATATATTGTCTGCAAAAGTAATGTACTAGCCTACTTTCAGATTAATGATAAGGTGGTGAGACACTGGCACAGGTTGCCCAGAGAAGCTGTGGCTGCCCCCTCCCTGGAAGGGTTCAAGGCCAGGTTGGACGGGGCTTGGAGCAACCTGCTCTGGCAGAAGGTGTCCCTGCCCGTGGCAAGGGGGTTGGAACCAGATGGTCTTTAAAGTCCCTTCCAAGACAAACCATTCCACGATTCTATGATTCTACGATACCCCTGGGTAGCAGAGTACAATTCTTATGATATAAAAACTTCATACTTGCTTCTGTAACTCTATTACTCCTCCAGATTTTGCGCTCAAAAAGGAAGGGGCAGGTTTTGAACACCTAGCCTTACCCTGCTTGTGGCTCAACATGTAGCATATGACTATTTACCTGTCAGCTATTATCTGTACCAGCCATTAGAGCGGTAAATATAGGTGGCAGAAAAATTACCTGAATGCTTCCTAGTTGCACCAGTCATTGTATTGCACTACCAACAGTCTCTGGGTTAGATCTTGGGCCTCTACTGTGGCAGGAACGGCTTTGCACCTTTTCTTGGCACTGCCCAAAGAGCATGTGCCTCCTTCCACACAGCCGCTGCCCTGCTGCGCCCCAGAGCATGTGGGTGGCAGTGTGTCACGTCCACAAAGCGTGGCCTCTGACAATAAAACTCACAATAGGAAACCTATTTTCTCCAGTACTGAGCACCCAGAACACCAGCTGGCAGCTTTTTGCATGCCAAAAGCCAGTTGTCTTGTTTGTTCTTCTCATTTTTCCTCTTCTCTTTACCCTTTTCTACAGCTTGCTGAGAAACTTGACCCTGGTGACAGATGCCCCTGAGCTGGCCTACCCTTCTCAGACTTTGATTTGGGATAGATTTGAAGAAGTCTTTCTCATTGCCTCTGGACTTATCTGCTATGCACCTGTGTTCAAGGCCTATTTCTACCAGGGGCTGCTGGAGCTCTATGAAGATAACGTACAGTATGTCGAGATAAGAGCTATCCTGCCTCCGGTACACACTTTTTGGCTTCTCTACTATTCTTTTAAATCCTTATTTCTCCATAACTTTTCTCAAGCCCTATCTTGAATTCAGTTTTTAGATGTTTGCATACCTGCCCTTCCAAGGATGCTGGAAAACCTAGATCGTATTCAAAGGTCTTTGTTGGAGATTTGCATAGGCAAGGGCTTGAAAGTGAGATATGCTTTGTTCTTAATGGCTAAGGAAGATACTTACTGGGCAACAGCACAAAACTGCATTGTACAGTCTGACTGGGAGCTGTGTTGAAATCTTGCTGGTTGGGAAGATGTATATCAGCTTTGTCTGCACCAGAATCACCTGTTCTGTGGCAGCTCTCTTGGAATAATTTCCCACCTTGAACAGAGACTTATCCTGGAATGGTTACGTTATTTTAAATCCACAGATTATTTCAGAATGATTTTTCTGAACAGGCTAGCAAACCAATTGGCAAAGCATAGTCTTCCATAGTTTTCAGACAACCTAAAATTTTGGTAATGTGTGTGAAGTATGAACTGCTCCTTTCATTGCTACTAACACTAAAATCTGTTGGTAATAGTTTAGGCTTTTCTCCCTGCATGTCATCCTGAGCTGGTCAGATTGTCCTATAACCCCACACTGCCCTAACGCCTTCCCAAGCACCAGCAGACCCCACCACTGTTCTTCGGCTGTAGTGGTTCCCACTGTCCCAGTGGCAATTTCGACACCTTTTCCATACAGTTCTCCAGACCAGCTCCACACAGGGCAGCATGGCGATGGGAGCTCTGTCAGAGGGGCAGGTAGATGCCTTGCCAAAACAAACAAACTGGGGCCGCTGCTCCTCACTACATCACCTTCCACCATGTCCTTAACAGTCCACTGCAAGGGGAATGAAGCTGCTGTGCCAGGACCATCCGGCAGCACCTGAAGGACCAGGCAGTGGTGGTGGTGATGGGTTGTGCGTGGGAACACAGGTAGCAGCTTGCTGCTGGCACCACGGTGTCCATCGAATGGAGCAGCTGTGCTGACATCCTGCTGGAGGCCCGACCCCCCACTGTGCCTGCCAGCAACTTCCTTAAATCACTGCCCCTGCACGCAAAGGCTGGTGGGCTCCAGCCAGCTGCAGATCAATGTCTGCGCCCCCAGCAACCACCGCTGCCGCTGGGCAGGCCTCCGCAGCCACCCCGTCAGCAGACAGGCAGGTGCTGTGACAAATTTGGAGGCTGATCTGGCTTTGTGCATGCCTCCGCCCCAACAGCTGGGGAGCGGGGCTGCTAACCCTGCCCTGTTGCGGCTTGGGCTGGCCCCATGGCAAAATAGGGCTCAGTGTCAGGGCTGCAGGCTGGCACTCTATCGTGCTTGAGATGAGAAGGGTGTATTGAGAAGAAAAAAGAAAGGAGGGGGAGAAGACTACAAAGCTTATATGTATCTTACTTTGTTGGGGGGGGGGGGGGGGGGGTTGGTCATGAGTCAGTTGCTCTGAACTCAGTTGCCATCTGTCTTTGGGGTACCTGGAAAGAGAAAATAACAGCAATGTCAAAATTCCTGTGCTGTGAGACAGCGCAAGTGCTGGCATCCCCCCAGGTCACACAGGTTTCCGGGCCAAGAGTATGCGACGATACGAGTGTGTGGGCCTGACTGGAAAATACCCTGCGTTTACCAACAGCCCTTAGACATGGTTGTACTGTCTTTTGAACAGAAGTTTGGCAGGGAAGATTTGCTTCCCATCCAGCCCCTAATGCTGGCTGCAGGCGTGGGAGCCTCCAGAGCCCCCGGGGGCTTACTCACACCCGGCAGCTCAGTGTGCTGCGAGGTACAGGCAGGCAGGCTGCCCGCAGCCCAGGTAGCACTGAGAGGAGCTGCGAGGAGCTGTGAGGAGCTGCGAGGAGTTGTGAGGAGTTGTGAGGAGTTGTGAGGAGCTGTGAGGAGCTGTGAGGAGCTGTGAGCACTCTGGGCTGCCAGCCCCGATGAGTAGCGCAGGCGGGGAAGTGCCAGCTAGGCTGGAGGGGGGGATGAGAGGGAAAGGAAATGCTTTGCCATGAAAGTCGAGGTGAGCAAGGTGTGACAGGAGCAGCAAGACGCTTGTGTGGCTGAAGGTCCCCTACAAGGCTTGGACAACAGCGCTGACACTCTGCAAAAGCTCGCCTTGCAGCAAAGCCCGCCAGAAGCGGCCCCTGAAGGAAAGTAAATGAAAGTCGGGATTTAGTGCGAAACAGCAAACATTGTGGAAAAGCCCCCCAAACCCAGCTGTGTTTGCAAATTCAGCTGTGTAAAGTCTCACATTCCCATGGGCTGCAGCAGGGGAAAATTCCCTCCGAGCATCTGTGGCCGCCCCGTGGCTGCTGGTGCCTGCAAGGGGGAACACCACGGCATGACGGGGTGCAGGGGCTTAGCGAGGGGCATCCCTGCAAGGGGCAGCACCGGAGGGGCAGCAGGAAGGCGGAGTGGACCAGTTGAAGGGTGGAGGAGAAGGGTGAAAGAGAAAAGGGAGGTGAGGAAGCTAAGAAGAGAACAGAGAGAGTGATTTCAGCCACTGTTTGTGAGCAACCCCAGGCAGGGCCTTTGTGGGTTTGTATCAATCGGGGCATGCAGGGTCTACACCCCTGCTGAAATCAGGGCAAAAGCCCTGCGTATAGCCCCGGTAGCGAGGAACTCACAAAGTAAGTTGATGAGATGGAGCACACCAGGAGGATTATTTTTCCCAGTTAGCAGCCAGAGAACTGGGAAAGCGTGGCAAGACTAGACAACTGACTCAAGGTCATGGAGAAAACCTCTGGCAGAGGAGAGCAGAAGCCCAGCCCAGCTGGTAGCTGATGGAGCTCAGCCCTCGTGTGCCTTGGGGCTGCCTTGGCTGACAGACTGCCACCGCAAGGCACAGAGTGCGTGTGAGCCGGCAGACGGCTGGACAAAACACCCCAGCGTTTGATACAGACATGAGTAAGAGGTCATGGTCTCCTCTGGGTACTCAAGGGCACTTGCTTGCCACGCCTGAACATGGAGAAACTTGTTTCTTGTATCACATAGGAGGGAGGAAAACCACTCTTTGGTTCTTGCCAGCTGGTGAAGGCTTCAAGAAGAAAATGTTCTGCACAGATTTAACTGTTTTTCTTCTGCCCTGTTGCCAGGACCGCAGCATGTTGTTTCTCCCCAGGTTTCCTTCAGTTCATTTATCCCACCCTCCAACAAAACACTTCTTCCAACTTATGTTTGCCACGTGCTTTTCCTCCTGCAGGTGTATGAACTGGATGGCACCCGGCACAATAAATCATGGTCTGTGGCAACCTATCAGGAAGTGACCAGGCAGTTTGTGAAGGAGCACCCTGACTTTCTTGGAGCCAAGATTATATTTGCAGCACACAGGTAGAGGCTGAGCGGGGCTAAGAGCGGCCGTGCGTGGCTGGCTGTGCTACAGTGAGGGCAGCGGTGGGGAGAGGAGTCCAGGCCAGGAGGAGTGATGCCAAGGGCTGGGCTGAAGTGCCACAGTTGGTTAGCAATGCCCACGTGCGTCGTCAGACCCAGGGTGTTGACTCCCGAAGCATTCCCTGGCACGTGTAAAAGGCTGAGGATGAGAAATCTTCTATATAAGTCTGCATATGTGCAAAGTGACCAAGGTTAGCTCACGGCGTGCGCCGGAGGGACAAGCGTCCGTGAGCCCTGGGTGTGGGAATGAGCAAGGGGAGGGCTGCGTGCGTGTCCAAGCCGTGCGTGTTCTCTTCGTGAGCCTGGACACACTCCTCCTCGCTGAGGAACCTGAAGCAGTGACAGCAGTGCCCCAGTACGGGCACTCGGTATTGCAGAGGTCCTCGTGGGACCCTGCGGACGCTGCTCTCCCGGCAGCCTTTGTACATGTTGGTGCTGCTGTTCGCAGGCGGGCACGAGGCTGTGCTCCAAGTCAGCCAGATGCCATGAAGTCATGCGAGGTGATCCTGAGCAAATATCACAGACCTCTCTGCAGCACTTACTCACTCCGGCTTGGCACAACGCCGTTTCCAGCTCAGAGCTGGCTTGCCTCTGGCCAGCTTGGGTACGGACAGGGTCCGTCTGCAAAATGCACTGTGATGTTTAAGTCCAATAGGGCTGGAAGAAATCTAAATTTAAAACTCTTGAAATGCAGCTACTGTCCCACCTCCCAGCAAAACAGTCGAGAGGAAAAAAATAAAAATTGAAATATTTTTTCTCCACGCTGCTGTGTTCCCTGCTTGGTAGATGGGAAAGCCAGTGAGTCAGACAAGCATGCCTCAACTCAAGTGACAGCAGGGTCTAGCCAGGCATTTCCTGGTCATTCAGGGGTTTCCTTTCATAATATCAATTTTCTACTGCTGTTACTCTGGAGATCTGAAGCTGGTTGTCAGATTCAGGAGCAACTCGCATTTTGGAAATACCCCTGGGGGCCCCATTTCACAAGTCAAACCCAAAGAAGGCAGGCCTTCTGGGAGCGAGCCTCTGCACTGATTTCTCTTTCTTGCTCTTTAGGATGCTGAATGTTTCCCAGATTAAAGAAGCCATCGTCACTGCCATGGCACTCAGAGCCCGCTTCCCAGACACCCTGGCAGGCTTCGACCTGGTAACTGTATTTCTTCTGTGGCTTTGTGTTAACCCCTAGAGGTGCGATATAACTACATGTATAATATGACATATGTTTTATACCAAAGCCAGATCCTCTGCTGATTAACTGAAAACAGTGTAAATGAATCACAAATCCTCCAGCTGAGGATTTGGTTGAGGATAATTGACAAAATCCCCTGAAAAAATCAGCACCCTGTCCCACAGCATTGTAATTTCAGTACAGTTGGCACCTCAGTGATATATAGCTCTAAGTCCCACCATCTTCCTGAGTGTGTTCAAAAATACCTTTCCTCTTTCCCCCAGGTTGGTGAAGAGGATGAAGGTCATTCTTTATGGGACCTGAAGGATGCCCTGACCATCCCATATTCCCTGGGGGTCAACTTGCCATACTTTTTCCATGCTGGGGAGACTGGTAAGCATGAGGACTCAAGGTCTGCTATTGCTTGCAGAGGCAAAAGTCTTGCAAAGCACAGAAGAAGTAAGTCTGGCTATATCAAGATGATGTGTGTGTGTGTATACATGTGTATATAATTGGTTTTCCCTATGCTTCTCCCCATATCAGCTTGTTGCTGTAGCATTCCTACATGACACCTTCCCTACCTGCTCCTTGCTCTTGACTGTAGGCGTCATGTTGCTCAGTGTCTTTGCCCTGTGTGTGTGACATGGAGTCATGTTGCACAAGTTATTGCTGGTAGCCATTTCCTTGGAACAGCACCTACCTCCCATCCACAGTGGCAGCAGAATTCCTCAACCCTTATTTTACATTATAAGGTGAAGGAATGTCTGAACCAGCCTCAAGTCTTAACTGAATACACTCATCAAAATAACTGATTGTTACCCTTCATTCCAGGGGCAATGTATTATAATTAGCAATATAGTATTCAGTCTACATGGGTGGGATTTATCCTAACCATGTACGACAGTTGTGTCAAACTTGTGTGTTATGCTTATTGCATATTGACATCTACAGGGAAGATGTCTACATCTGAACTAGTTACTCTAGGCTCGTTTTACAGCCGTGGATAGTAACAAGCATTTCTGAGGTGCAATACACCTCATCCTAATGCACAGGCCATTCCCCAGGAATTATTACTTCTCTCTGTTGACTATGAATGGAGACCAGCATGATTAGTTTAGCTGTAAGAGCGATGGACATCTAAATAGCCGTGGATATCTAAATCCAGGTGAGATGAGTGGCTATACCTCTATGCTGGGGCAATGTCCTGGGCAGATTTTTATCCCTGTTTCACTGAAAGTGGGAACTCAGAGCATGAGCAGCCCTCTCACCTTGCAACTGGGATATTTATTAACAAAATCATCTGTCAGTTTGAGAAGATATATTTCCTCACAACACTGCATTGATTCTTACCTGTCTCTGCTCAGCCTGGCAGGGCACCTCTGTAGACAATAATGTGCTGGATGCATTACTACTGAATACCAGTCGGATTGGCCATGGATTTGCCCTCACTAAACACCCAGTAGCCAAAAGTTTGTCTCGGAAGAGGGATATTCCTGTAGAAGTATGTCCCATCTCCAACCAGGTATGTTGGTAAAAGCTTCGGTCTTAGAGCTGAGACACTGGAATGGGATTTACCATAGCAGCTAGGAGAAGCAGGGACCTGGAAGGCAGCTAGATGTTTTGCTGCACCTAGGCTAGCTCAGTTTCCTTTGCAGCACATTGCACTGCAGTCTGCTATGTAGACACATGCTGTGTATATATGAGACTTGTAATGTCAGTCAGCATAAAATCATTTGAATTCCTATGTAGAGGAACCTGTGAAGGCAGTCCTCCCTAGTGGAGATGAGGCCTAGAGCCTGGGAGATGCCTAAAGAGACATCATGGAAAATACTTCAAAGCCAGGAGGGCTAGAGGCTGGGAAGCTGGGATTGTAACTGGAAGTCTTTTGGTTTTGTAGTAGTCACAACCAGGGGGAACACTTTTGCAACACATTAGCGTGGTGCCTGTTGTCCCCTGGGCACAGCAGAAAGGATGCTCTTGGGTAGAGATGTAGCGGTGTGAGCCTTGAGGGAGGGAACCCTGATACCAGCTCCGGATGCCCTGGGCTAAGTGTCATGGCAAATACATAACCAAATGACTGTTCCTGAAATGCTCAGAGACAAATTGTTATAAATAAGCAGAAGTTATTCACCCCTCTGGCCTTAATTTAGGTGATTAATTTAAGAAACCAGTCTCTTTGTGTACTCAGTGGAGAGAAGTAGGGTCCTCTTGCAGCAGTTCAGAGCAGAATGCCTAAAACACTCTGGACAGCCCTCGGGAAGCTCTTCCTCCCTGATGACTGCCTGCTGACACAGGCAGCTAGAGCAGGTATGCAGTGCTTCGGGTGCTGTAATGCAAACACGGCTACAGCAATAACCTGATGTGGTGTCGTCTCCCACCCTTCCCCGCCCAGGTCCTGATGTTGGTAGCTGACTTGCGGATCCACCCTGCAGCTGACCTCATGGCTGAAGGGCACCCCATTGTGGTCAGTCCCGATGATCCCCCTATCTTTGGGGCAAAGGGAGTCTCCTATGACTTCTATGAGGTGTTCATGGCCATCGGTGGGATGAATGCCGACCTGAGGACCTTAAAACAACTTGCACTGAACTCCATAAAGTAAGTTCCTCACCTCTCTCGTCTAGCCCTAGTAATGCTAAGGGGACTACCAGCTTGCTGCCTAGAAACACACTGTATTTGGATTTTGGCCCCAGAGTCTCCTCTGCTACATGAACTGAGCTTCTGTTAATCCAAAGTCTCCTCTGTGTGTCTCCTCCAAGGGCAGGACACAGGGACCACGGAGGCTCCTCTGCCCATGCCCTTGAGTGCCTTTCCCTAACTCAGTGCCTCAGTTGACTCCTCCTTTCCCATCCTTTGTGAGCTTGTCTCCAGCAGCCATTTCTGGATATGGGAGAAATCTTACCTCTTTGTATCACTTGTCTATTTCTGCCAGAATTCAACTTGCTACAGTGTTTGCCACTGCACAGTGGAGAAACACAGGGAAAGAATCTACCAGCACTTAGTCTGCATGTTTTTAACCATGTTTTCTATTTATGTGGGCAGCTCTGAATGTCCCAAAATAGTTTGGATATGGTGCCCAGGGTCTTTCTGCATATTCCTAGACTCTTGTCTGTTTGCCAAATCCCGTGCCAATCCTCATGTCAGTACCAAGACCCCACATAGCCGGAGAGACAACAAATACTCTTATTTCCTACCAATTTGGACCAAGCCCAGGGCACATCTGAAAGCAACAGCAGTGCTGTCTCTTCTCTACTAGTCACTGGGTGTTGCCCAGCAAGTCTCCAGCTTATGCAGAATGAGCTGTTTGTCCTCATGGTGCAGGACTCAGTAGCTGTTGATATGGCCGTGACACCTCTTGTACCAGCGTGAGCCCAGCTGGCAGGAGCTCAAGGCTCTTTAAACTGTGTCCTGTAGGCATGTCCTGCAAGGGTTATTCTGTTGCTGCTTCCTGCCTTTTCATTTTGGTCACTGATCTTGAAATAGCTGCCCCCTTGCCTCCTGCCTGACACTGACTTTTCTCCTCTCACAGATACAGTGCCATGCTACCGGATGAGAAAGCCAAGGCCAAAGAGGTCTGGCAGAAAAAATGGGACCAATTTGTGGCTGACCTCTCTGATAGCTTCTTGAGGGGAGGAGACTCATCTGAGAAGGCATTTGGCAAGCCAGAGCAATCCAGGCTTATTTCTAAGAGGGAGACTGTTTCTTCCATGTGACCTGAGCATATGAATGAACCTCAGAATCTCACCTGGCAATGGGTGATTCTGGTAAGCTAGGCTTAATGGGCTTAATGCTAAGGATGAGCTGCACTATCCTGTGAAAGTCATGGACTGGAGGTAAAAGGGAGCAGTGAGCCTTTTTAGCAACAACAAAGGAACACCCAGCTCAAAATAGTCAAAACAATTAAAAATTGTCAATGACCAAACCCTGACATCCTTATTCAGGAAAAACATGCTTTCTAATTAGAGTTAGTGGGAGATTGCCAACATGAGAATCTCTGAATATCGTCTTATCATTACAAAATGCAGACCTTGTCCGGAAACAGCTAAGACAAACATCCAACCATTTGGGCCACTGACCTTCAGGAGAGCGAGGACTGAAAATGACTCTTGTTATGTTTAACCCTGGGCCTGCTGCCAAAATAGCACTGCTAGGTTGAAGAACCAGTCACAGGTCTGATGTCTGCTATTTCAGGACCTACCATGGCTGGAAAAGAGCTGATGGAACTTGCTTCCAGAACATTTAAGCCTGGTTGCACAGTGATCATAAAGCCAAAAAGAGGTGCCTCAGTTATCAACAGTTGGGTTGTCTTTTTTTTTTTTTTACTGCAAAATCTTTTCCTGTCCTCTGGTCACAAGGAAGCTGAAAAAAACCACTCCGGCTTCCAGATCCAGCTTAATTAAAACTGTCCCCCTGCACTGGGCCACATTAACATGGGCCTCTGCATTTATAGGAAACACCTTTTGATTTCAGGGGGTTTCACTACCTGCCTTTGTTGCCTAACTCAGAGTGCGAATGTGACCTTATTCAGCCTGTCAGACAGATTTTCACCTTCGTGGAGAATTACTCTCACACTGTGGATATTCAGTGTTCACTTGGACCTTTGTAGTTTCCAGCTCTTCGGCAAAATGGTATTGCAGCAACTACACAATAGATAGTGCCTGAGACAAGCAGATTCCCTTTCTTAACATCATCAGAAAAATATCAGGAGAAGAACTAGTTACTGGGAGATTAAAAAAAAAAATAATCTTAATCAGGATGTTAAATAAATTCAGCAAAATCATTCAGCACACACACCCCAAGCACACAGCCAGAAACAACCAGCGTCTCTCCCTGACTTCAGCACAATTATGCTGGTTTGCATCAGCCAAGGGAGAATTTACAAAAGTTCCTGCGGAAAGATGTCTCCCTCCTCTGAGCTGCAGATTTGTGAGGACTGTCATTTCCTGATCTGACCAGCTTGGGCAAATTGGCTCTCTTTATGTTTTCTGCTAATTGTCTCAAGCTGCCTGGCCATAGTGTTTATTTCCACTGACCTTGGTTAAAACACCTTAGCAGGAGCCAAATATACTTACTACAGAAGTGGATCAAGCTGCGCAGCCCATGGGTCCCATTGCCTGCATTTCACAGGCTTCAAGTTCATCTCTAGTTATTCCAAGGGGAGGAAGGGGAAAAAAACCCAACCAAACAAACAACAAAACCCAACAAAACAATAGCCACACTACAACCCCCTCAACAAAACAAAACAAAACAAAAAAAAAAAAACAAACAAATAAAGCCACAAAAAAACAAAAGGTGCCTGCATTACAGAAACCAGCAACAAAACCCACAGAAAGCAAAAAGTGAGTACCCAATCACACAGCTCACTAACCGAGGGGGTTGAGTGCCTCCCACCCCTCACCCTTTTCAGCCACAGCTGCCTCTACTCCAGCTCTCTCTGCCCTCATGCTTCACACCTTCCTCTGAAGCACCAGCAGCTGGCTCTTTGCAAACTGGCCTTTCCCGGGGCCTCGATGCAGATTTGGTGCCGGGATGAGCTTTATACTGGAGGAGGAGCCAGAGTAGATCCACCTTCCCTCCTCTGCCATGGGTGTTGCATACAAAGCTCAGTCTAAAGTCCCCAAAGTTGGCTCTGGTCATGGTCAGATTATAAATGCTCACTTGGGAAATGCCTTATTTGTAATGCTGCCAAGGAAAACTGCTGCAAACAGGTGGAATGGCTGCTAACCAGTGACCCAAAGCCACATCCCTCTGAGCTCCCTGATCTTTCAGCTTTGCTATAAGTGGATGAACGACGATCTTTGATTTGCCATTAGCTGATTCTCCCTTAAGTAATCCTCTTCACTGCCAAGGTGAAGCTAATCACTACAGAGCCAGTGTGGGAGGAGCTGAGCTCCTCAACACAGGTTGATACATGTCCCTTCCTTTTCTGATGCAGTGGAAAGGTTTCAGCTCTTCCTGCACACGGCCTCTCGAAGGCTTGAACCACCGATGTTTAAATGTGAACCTGAACCACATGGAGAAGCCTGACTGGTGGTACAGCGTTCCTCAGATCCCTCCTTGAACGGGGCATTGCCATGTGTGGTGACTGGAGCTTCCCAAGAGTCCTCTGGCAGTAGATGGGCTTTAACCATTTTTAGGGCCTTAGCAGGTCTGACAGAGGGCCAGCCTGCTTCACTGCTGGGGATCAACTCTTCTTAGAGCAGGCCTTAGTCCAGAGAAAGGTGCAGACTGAGAAATCCAGACTGCATCCTCACCACTTTAGGTGTGCAAAAAAGGAGGGATTTAGGCTGGACCACAGCAGTTAAGACAGATCAATCCATTCAGATACCCCCAAAGTTTCAGGTAAATTTGGCTGCAAGGCTTCACTGAGACTCAGCCTCTATCATTCACAGTGACATTTCAAGGATTTTGCTGCCAGCCTGTTCCCTTACCCTCAGTACCTCAGCTCTCTGCTCACGTTTCTGGCAAATACATTGCATATAATGTTTTCTTGCCCATCTCTTTCAGAACATAGTATATATTTAAGTTTTTAAACCTATTTTAATTGTGGGATTTATTTTGCTCTTTTTTTTTTTTCTGTTAAAAAGAAGTGGAGATACCTATATTTGATGTGAGGTTTTAATCTCGAACATGCAGCGGAGGGGGGATGTTTCACATCACTCGGCCTGGCATACAGCCATCAGGGAGCCTGAAATGTCTTCACAGCATGCTGCAAAGGGCAATTTGATCCATGGGGCTAACATGCTGGGGAGTCAAGCCCAAGCCACCTGGCAGAGACACAACACAGGTCCTCCAGCCCCCCTTTCCCCAAACCACATGGTAGCTGCAGCCTGCTCAGGGCTGCGCTTTCATACACAGACCACCCAACAGACATGATTTGTTTGTGCTACCTCTCCCGGTACAGTTTTGTACCATCTCTGTGTCAGTCACAGCATGGGAAAGTAAAAGTAACTACTGAAGGTCATTTTACCTGCTTTTAGCATGATTTTAACAGAGGGAAACAAGGAGAAGAGTAAATACTATCTGACCAGCCAATTCTTTTCAAAGCTGGCAGGTGCCTCATGGAGCACCAGCTAACTACACTGTACAACTTGGGGCTCTCTGCCCAAAGTACTGATGGTGGGCATGGAAAGAAAGGGCCGGGTAGAGAACTTGAAAACCTGAGATGAAGGAGGTATTTGGGCAAGCAGGGTAGGAGGCAGCCACAAGAGTGGTGGGAGGCTGAGTAGGGCAGACCTAAAGGGTTTCCCCTAAAGACCTAAAGAACCTCCCCTTCGGTCTCCATCTGGGCTCAGTAACAAGGAAGGAGAGTAGAAAATCCATGGAAGTTTCTATGATGGTCACTTCAAGCAGCCACAGGAATAAATCAAGTCTTATGCCTGTTATCTCCCCTGCCTGTTTCTCCCTGTGGCCTCTTCAGGTTCAATTTGTTTAAATTGGAGGTGGATGGAGCGTTGTTCGCAGCACACCGTGTCACAGGTTTAGTGGTGCTTTGTTGCAAAGCAGCTTAGACCGCCTTTGGGGCACTTTAGCCAACGACGTGTTTGCCTCCTGGTCACTCACCAGCAGGAAATGGCTGATCCAGCACTAGTGGTTCCTGTCAAAAATCATGCCAATAAAAACAGTGGAGTAAAGTAACTGGTTGAAAAGAGAGATAGGCCCAAGCGAGCAGCTGGATCTCACGTCATGTGAGCGTCCATCATTGCAGTGGGACTACGCAGATGCCAGATGCTAAACAAAGCCCTCTGGCCATAAAACACAGGGCTACAGATGTGTTTTCCACCAGCTCCCGATGCTCAACCTTCTCCAGGTTTTTCTCTTATAAATCTCTGAATTAGTCTCTTCACAGGTAGCAGAAGGACATTTCTTTGGCCAGAAAGTTGTAGCTCTAATTGGCTCAGTACTTAATTCCTTTCTTTCCAGGCTTGCAGCAGTTGCAATCATGGCAGGTCTATCAAGTGTTTTCTGTCTGCTGAGGGACAGGCAGGTGAAGGGTCTGGCTCTCAATTCTTCTGGCTTGTCATTTTTATCAGACTGTGTCCTCCCCCTTGGTCATTACAGGATAAGGAAGGCATTTTACTGTATTTTCTCAACCTTTAGCTTGTCCATCATTCCACGAGCAGGCTGCAGCAGAGAAAGAGAAGAGATAAACCATGGGGGGGAGGGCTGGTTCAGGCCATTAGAGCCTCTGCGGTAAGAAAAGAGATGGAAGGTATGGCTCCTTTTGAGGGGACTGTTAGAAGGTCAGGAAAGGGGGGTGGGGTGGGTGACGACAAGACTGCGAGTCCAGGGAAAACAGAGCTGCAAAGTTTACATAGAAACCCACGGGAGAAGGCTGTGGGCAACTGCCTGTTTTGCTTGTCCTTAAAGGCAGCTATGAAAGGGGGTGGGGGAAACATCTAAATACAGCATAGACAGGGGAAGAGGAGGGAGTCTCCTGTGGGCTGGTGTGAGAAGGGCCGACAGAGCATCTCTAGGGGTGTGAGGGGATATAGCTGTTGTCAGATGTGCCTGCGGAAGAAACTGCGAGGCACATCCACGCGTAACACACGAAACGGGGAGCTCCTAATAGAGTGGTGGAGCAAGTCCCAACTCCTGAAGGGCAAATGACACGACCAGGCGTTCAGCCCAGGGATGACGGGCTGAAGCCTGCCTGCTGGTACGGGGAGGATGGGGGCTCAGCCGGCCATGCAGGCGCTGCGGGGTGCGGTGCTTGGTGGCCGTGCCGCCATCGGTCCCTGCGGCCTGTGCCCGACCGCTGGCAAACTCCCTCCGCGTTGGGTTTAAAAATAAGCGCTTCAGCCTGTGGGACGGTCTTCCTCGTAAAAATAAATACAGCAGCTCTGCCAGCCTGCTGGGGCACGCACACACTTTGGGGGGGGGGGGGGAAAGCATCTCTTCAGAGGTGGGTACACCCTGGCTGGAAACACGGGCGCCCTCCCCACCAACCCTCGTGTGTCAGAGGCACGGGAGGAACACCCCCCACCCCCCCACGCGAGGCACTACCTCCAACATCCCTGCCCCGTGCTGTGGCAGCCCAAACCACACCAACGCTTTCTGCTACTGCTGATCCACGGGAGGAAAATGCTGCAAAGCAAGCGAACAGTGTTAGCGGGGCTGGCACCTTACCCGGGGAGGGGGGTGGTGTGGGGGGGGGAAGGTTAGAAACCCCTTCTCCACGGCCCCGCCTCTCCCAAATCCGCTTTGGAGCAGGACACCACCACTTCCACCACCTCCGCCCCCACCCCCCGAGCAGCGGCGGGATTTTTCGCGGGGTGTGGGACTGGGGGGGGGGACGACGGACACGGACGGACGGACGGACGGAGCGGGACGCGCCACGCGCCCGCAGGTGAGCGGCGGCGGCCCCGCCCCTGGCCCCGCCCCGCCCGCGCGCCCGCGCCGTGGAGCGGAGGGGCCCCCTGGCGGACTGGCGGGGGAGGCGCCGCCCGCCCGCGGCGCTAACAAAATGAGGTGAAAAATCCCACTTTAGAGGCGGCGGGGGGGGGGGGGGGGGGAAGAGGAGGTTCGCCGCCGCCGCGCTTTCCCTCAGCGTTGGCCATAAAAACGGAAAAGCTTTGGCTATCGGGGGGGCGGGGAAGGTGGAACCCGCGCCCCCCCCCCCCCCCAAGACCCCCAAACTCAAGGATACATAGCTCCGCTAAACATTTTTGCAATTAAGTCCGCTCTACGATAGGGAACCGGCTAGATGTGTCTCCCAGCTAGTTCACAAGCCTCAGGAACAGGGAAAGGGCAAAAAGTACCCTTACACTTCAAAAGAAGGGACTGGCAGGCCCCAGCGATGCGATTCAGCCGGCCTGATTTCAGCGCCGAGAGGCGCCGAGGCCGGTGACCAAAACAACCCGTCTAACTTGCAAGCGGCTGCATCGTTAAAAGGCCATAAATCCGCATTAGCCAATACTCAAGGCAGAAGTCACAGTAAATCAATCAAATTTTTTCTCTGCCAGGAGAAAGCGCCTCGGTGGATAGCTGAGAAAAGCTCTTGTGTTTGTCATTAAATTTAGAAAGACTTCGCTTCTCTCTCTGACTGCGTTTTTCATTGGCAGCCAAGGGAAATGAGGGTTGGAGGTCCCTGGGTTGTCAGGGGGTGTGTAAGTAGTAGAGAAGGCACATTTCAAAGTAGCTGGAACCGGCTCCCTCATGCTCGTGGACGAAGGTTTGAAGCCCAGTACTGCAGCGAACTAAATACTTCGGGTATTTAGTCTCTGAGGCCAGCATAAATTTTGCCAGAGCAGGAGGAGCTGCAAACACTTTTGAGAAATTGAAGTGATCCTAGCAAGTTGAGGAAATTATGTAAAATAAACAGTAGGTAATTCAGTTAAGGCAAAGGCGCTTAAGGAGGAATAACCATCTGTACATACGTATAACCCTGGGTTGCCAGGGCTTTAATAGCTCTGCAGAAAGGGCTCGGAGTGTTAAAGTGGGTCAAAAACGAGTTAAGGTTGGTGTTCGTGGCAATGGAAGCGTAAAAACAAACAATTACACTGTTTGTGTAATTGATGCCTAAAGTCATACGTGTTAAACCTGCCGTATCGCAGCAGTCAGGAAATCTTAAGCCTAGCTAGAAAGCAAACAAACATGGTTTCATCTCCACGGACGTGGAGCGAACCTTTTGCTTTCCTCAGGTCTGGAAGGGCCTCAGCGGAATTCAGCGTCAAGGTTTCTGTCCCACGCCTCATGAAAGAGGGAGCCCCTGGGACACAGTCCGTCAGGAGGCAAGAAAAACGACTAGAGTTTTTGAAGACTTTACGATCTGTAGGAAACAGACCACAAGACTTGGGTTTGCATAGAAAAGACTGAGCAAAAGCAGAGCGGCGGTTGGCGGGGGTAAAAAGTTGCAGTGCAGATGTTTTGCATGCGCATTGCGGGCAGGGTAAGCTGTAACCACCTTAGACCGAAACCAGGCTACGTCCTGGGGGATGCCTTTGCAGCCGTGAGGTCTGGACCGCACCGCGGCAGCTTCAGTCACGAAACCGAGAGTCTCCGGTTCTCTGATTTTGTGAACGGCTTGGATAACCCCGGCGCAGTTGCTTCGGAGGGGTCTACACCTTTCGCTCCCCCTCCTGCCCAAATCTCCCCTCGTCGGTGACTCTGCACGCCTCCCCCACCGCAGGGCTGGCTCCTCACCCGCCGCCGAGCCCCGCCAGCCTCGCTGTTGCCTCTTACACTTGCTTTTACAACCGCCGGGCGCCTCCAGTTCCCCTCCCAACTCTCCCCAAACCCGTCACCCTTCGCTCCGGAGCAGACGGGACACCACAGCCCCCCCACCCCGGGCCTGCCCGCCTCCGGCTCCCCGCCTCCCGCCCGCCCAGCCCGGGGCAGGGCCGGCTGACCGCCGCTCCCCCCCCCCCCCCCGCTCCTCGCTGGGAGCTGTAGTCCGGGAACTACGAGCCCCGGCGTGCCCCGCCGCCGGCCCCGGGGCCGGGCCAGGCCGGGCGGGAGCGGCGCGGCATGGCGCTGCGCGGCTGCCTGCGGGCCGGGCCGGGGCTGCTGCGCGCCGCGGGGCCGCGGGGGCCGCCC